CAATTCATGCATACAATGGATTTCGGACTAAGTCTGTTCCTCTAAGTCTTCCTACCAATATGACCAAGTTGCGAAAACAAGTTCAAATAACTTCTAGAAAGTTATTTGTTCTACAAACCTGAATAAATAATAAGCTGTCGACAAAGGCAATGAAGAACCGTTGATCAAATTTTCCAACGAGTTATGAATAGGCCTCACGATGCTAATTAATTTTACTTGGCCTTCTCTTACAGAAGGTGTAGTGGCAACATGTCAAAATATATTATGTAATACCTTGGTTTAATACCTATTTAGGGTGCTAAAGACACTCGGGCAAGTTCGAAAATTTTGTCTATCCTGTATATATATTTTTAAAAGCAAGGCCAAATTAAATCCAATGGCAGCATATGGTCTAAGCATATAATCATTATCTTCTTCTTCAACATGAAGGACTATAGCTCGTATTCAAGATCTACTGACAACCTCAAAACCTATTCAGTATAAGTACAAAATATAGATAGATAATATAAGACATTAATACTGAACAGATAGTTAGGAACAGTTAAAATTGGGTATTGTCGTAAAATGACAAAATATAAGTAGACGATGCATACAAACTCAAGTACTAGTACTGATGGCACTTATCAAATGACCAAGCTACTCACCAAGTGGTCGATGTTATTTAGAGAAATTAAAACACGCCATCCCGTAGGATCAAGACGAGAGCAAGTATCAACCGGATAACGGACGAATCTAGTGGCCAGATTTCGTGATCGTATCGCTATCAAATCGCGCACCAACTGGCGCCACTTTACGGCGTCCACTATCAGGACAGAATCATCACAACTGCCAATACCAACAGAGGAAAGGCCAGGTACAGTGGCAACCGATGCGGTAGGATTGCTAGATGAGCCAGATGCAACAGGAGATTGTACCGAGGAATTGCAAGACATTTCTTCTACACCACCAGCAGTGGACGATGGCTGATCTTCTATGCCAGCTGCAGCCAGAGTTGTTCGACTTCGGGCACCACGACGGCCTCTTACGGAAGGTTCAGGCAGAGTGGCAGAAGCATTTGCAGAGCTAATGGGTATGGAGGCAGAGGACAAAGTAGATTGAATAGAGTTGAGGGAAAGAGAAGAGGAACCACCACCAGTAGCAAGCTGTTCAGCAGAGGCAAGGCAGGACTCAAGTCCATTTGAGACAATTGGGGATGCAACGTGGTTTACACGATTCGAAGGGGCCGAAACGGTCCCAGATGTTTGGTGGTTATGAAAGAGACTGTTGGCCGTGGCTTGAACCAGGTCTACTAAGCCTGGTGGGAGACTATTAATGCCATGCAAGCTTGTTTGTCCAGGGCAAGAAGGGGTAGGGGAAGGCCAGTGCACCGTACTGGAAGCCTGACAATCATGGGTATAGTGATGATGATGATGGTGATGATAGTGATGATGATGGTGATGATAATAGTGTTGTTCCTGTCTTTGCTGCAGGCTATAGGACGGATTCAAAAAGCTGTGGTCAAGGTTAGATGATGGAATGGTACCATTTGGAGGAAAACCCATAGACCACGCGACAAGGTCACCAGGACCATTGAGAGGAGGATCAGGCCGGATACGTATTTCATTTACCCTGAAAAAAAGATAACTAAGTCATAAACATTTGAAATATTTGCCTGATTAAAGTAAGGAATTGGTATTAAAAAAAATACTTTTTAAAAGATTTACGAGAAGTAAATGCAAAGTCATGTCAAATATATGCGCAAAGGGTATTCCTCGAGGCGTTAAGCCACGCCTCAAGTTAATTTTAATGATGAAAAAGCAAATCATGAGCAGCACATATCAGATAGTGATAAAATTTTTCTTTAAATGAAAAAATCAGAAGGCTTAAAAACTTACAACAAGATCAATAATGATGTGCAATTATCTCAGATCGAATTTTACCTCCTGCTATTCTGTGTAGCCAAAATATTACAGACATCAGTAAGAAAGAAGGTATGATAATGAGGTAAAAATAAATTCAAGGTTCAGATAAAAGAGTAAAGACTCATCTCCTCGTAGTAATTCTAGAATGAAGTTTTTCCAAAGCATAGAGGCCTGAACACGGAAAAAGGCGTGAGGTGCCTGAGAGTGAATATTGAAATTCCCTTTATCTATAGCACTAGTCGCATTTAACTGTCAATCCAG